GTTAATTATCGATATTCAATATATTTATTATATCGAACACAGCGGTAAAAGCAGAGCGTGTGAACTCATAGAACTAACTATAGGAACTGACTCAACATCAAGACAAACCCTTTCTTAAGTAAACGATTCCTCATAAATAGGCCTGCTTTCATTATGTGTGTCTTTTCTGGGAAAATTACAATAACGGTTCAGCATTTGCTGCTCGGGATTAGGAAAAACCCAGAAAAACCTAATCAAACCATTTGACTTATTTACTAAGCCTAATTCCATTCTAATGTCTTCAAATTTTACTTGCATCCATGGTTTGGTAAACATGTCTGCTAGATGTTTTTCTGTGGACAAATATTTTATATTAATTACACCTTTCTCTATTTGTTCATTGAGAAATGATACTTTGTATCAAAAGGATTTGATCTTTTGTGATTTGTTGGATTATTTGCATTATTTATGCAATCATTGTTGTCCTCCTAGGTCATAATTAGCTCTGGTAGTAATATTTATGTATATTTTCTGCTAATTATTTTAACCAAAGAGCCTCTGTGACAGCTTTAAAAAGAAAGCCATATATTCGGCTTCAGTAGATGATGACTGACAACTGCCTTTTCGCATTCCAACATATCACACAAATTTCAAACAGTTTAAATAAATATCCTGTTTTGCTTTTTATATTGTTTATATATCATCTCCGCCTTCCTAGTCAGGATTAATGAATCACTCAAAAAATTGATATATTCACAACTGAAATATTGTGTCAACTTCAGATCGATTTTACCATTAAGATATCTGAGGACCCTTTTCAAATATTGCCAAAGCTCTTTAATATTTTTGTTTTGATACCTGCCCCAAATATTAACAGCGGTACTTAAATCAGGCTTGGTATACATAACATGATATGCATTAAACAGCCGATTAGATTACAGCAAGAGCTATCATATTTTTCTTCTGAATTTAAACCAATCAAATTCAGTTTACTAGGAAGTGGAGTGCTGACATAGCTGACGGCACAACATTCATACATATTAAATTTATGTAAAATAATTGTCATGTACATGTGAACTGTACCTATATGAAAATTGATCAAGAGTAATTTTATTTTGATAACCTTTTAATTGTATTACCCAAAAATAGTTTACTGTCTTTCAAATAAAACATAGAACAGTTATTTGCCAAATACCTTTCAAAACTATTCAATGTATTATTATCTGCAGTGGCAAATACCACTACATAAATAATTTTACATATTGCAACTTTGTCTAAGATAAAATACAGTGGTTAACTGATGAATTTTCAAACCCATTTTCTTTATGAACTTTTACTATTATTTCAAACCAACATCTAGTGGTTTGTTTTAGTGCATAGATACAAAGCCTTGCAAACTTGGTTAGGAGGTTTACTTGTCACACCTTGAGCCAGCCACCCTTCAGCCTTCAGGAACCTTCATAAAAATGGCTTCCTTCAATGTCCCATCCGGGAAAGCTGTTTTTACATCCATATGATGTATTAAAAGGGTAAACTGATTAAAAAGGTTATTATAAACCAGAAACCTACGATTCTCGCCACCTCTGCAAAGGTTTTATTATAATCTACCAAGTAATGTTGACTAAAACCACGAGCAACTAAGTGAGCTTTGTATCTAAATGGTTTTCCAATTTCATCATTTTCAATGGAAAATATCCATTTACAATCCACTATATTTTTATATTCGGGTCTTGATACTAACGACCACGTTTTATTTACCAATAATGAGTGAATATCATTTGGCAGATCTGTTTTAATCACAGATTTACTATACTCATTATTTAGTAAAATGAGTTCATTAGGGTTAACATTTACCTACTTTCCTGGATTGTTACTCATCTGATCTAACTATATCAGATTTATTAACCAAACCACCGATCTTGACAAACTGCCACTTTCAGGGGAAAGGTTTTATTAGACTATCCAAGATGCTGTCGAACTCAAATTAAAATGTCCGCCAAGAGCCACACAAACCCTTTGTTTGCGTGTCAAAGTCACGTGTTTTGGATAGGCTAATTACCAAAGTGTTACATTCATTTTTGACACTTTTTCAGTTCAGTTCAGTTCAGTTTATTAATAACTACTGATCTTGACAAACAATCAGAGGAAACAGCTTTATCATCAAAGTGTTTTACATTCACTTTTTCATAATCACTATTAACTACTAATATTGACTTACTCGAAACCCTGATTGAAAATCACTGAATAGTTTATTCTATCTACCTATAAACTCAACAAGTTGCATATACACCATTTTCTCCAAAATTTTGTCAATAGTGCAAAACAAATTTATTGGATGCAATTCACTGGAGGATTTTAATTTAACTACTTTGGGAATCGTGATTATAGTGGAAACTGAATGAATATCATTTGGCAGATCTGTTTTAATCACAGATTTACTATAATCATTCATTATATAGTTTGATAAGTTTGTGGGTTAACCGTTAGCTACTTTGTTGGATTGGTTGGTCATCTGATTTTGCTTTATTAGATTTATTAACCAGCAATCTTGGCAAACTGTCAAAGGAATCAGTTTCATCACCAAAGTGTTATGCATTCACTTTTTCAAACTTATCATTAACTAACCACTGATATTGACAAACAGTCAGAAAAATTGGCTCTATGACCATAAAAGTTAAACATTTACTTTTCAAGCTTATTAGTAACTACTGATCTTGACAAACAGTCAAAGAAATCAGCTTTTACAATTAAAGTGTTCTATATTCACTTTTTCAAGCTTGTTAGTAATTACCGATCTTGAAAAATAGTCAGAGGAATCAGCTTTATGACCATAAGTGTTCTGCATTTACTTTTTCAAGTTTATGATTAACTAAGTACTGTTCTTGACAAATAGAGGAATCAGCTTTATAATCAAAATGTTCTACATTTACTTTTTCAAGTTTATGATTAACTACTATTCTTGACAAATAGTCAGAGGAATCAGCTTTATGCAGATTAAAAGGCTTGGAGGACAAAAACAAATTTGTCATATCTACAATAATATCCTTAACCACAACAAACTTATGACTAACCACATCCCACACTTCATATTCATTTGGTTCATAACCAACCAGTATAGCTTAAAAGGATTTGATATCAAATTTTGTTTTTCTGGTTTTATTTGTTAGGAAATGAACTAAGAAAAAAAAGAGCAATAAATCTATGATACTGACTGTTTCCCAGTTATTCGAACAATAACATAAATTATAAGCTTACCGCCTTTGTTAATACTACCACTTTTTTTTTTTTTAAGCAATATTCATACTAGCCCTTTGCATTTTTCTTACGGACAGCACCTCTCTGGACAGTCGAGCCTATACTACAGACTTTCCTGTATGCCCATATTACTGGGAATACTAATTGTGCCCTTTTTGGTTACTGTTATAAGGGTTCCATTTTTATTTTATTCTTTTCTATTGATGGAATTGTTTTGTTTCACTTTTTTCATTGTGTTTCAGAAACTTGTTTTTTTTTTTTTTCGAAATTGCGTCTTTTAAAATCGATTTTAAAATATCCTCAACGATAATTATTTCTAAATTGCTGAGCTCTGATGTTGTTATCTAAGTTCAAGCTCTGTTAGCATGAAGCCTTTTGTTTCTTTTTAGTTTCAAATTTTCCATTGTCACATTAAACACTCCCGGTTTTCACAACCGCAATGAATACACGTACACTGGTCCCATAACCTATTGGGAAATGGACTAAGAAATAAAAGAACTTGTTAATTATCGATATTCAATATATTTATTATATCGAACACCGCGTGGAAAGCAGAGCGTGTGAACTCATAGAACTAACTATAGGAACTGACTCAACATCAAGACAAACCCTTTCTTAAGTAAACGATTCCTCATCTGTTTATCTGACATATAAAAACTATTATAAACACATTCAGTCATCCATAGCTGCGATTTAAATTAGCAAAGTATAGACTAATAATGAAAGTTTAATTTATTAATTTTTGTTTCACTGATATGAATATCAGTTTATCCAACATTATTTCATCGTATACTTCAATTTGTCATATAGATAATTCGTCGTGTACGTGAATTCGTTGTATTTCAGGTATTATGTTATAGAAATGTATAAATTTACTGTCTAGTTACCTATTTCAGACATTACCAAACTTACCGATAATAACCCGGTTAGTTTGCAATTTTAATTAGACATTACATTGCAAACTAACCGGGTTATTATTGGTGAGTTTGATGATGTCTGGTTAAAATTGCAAACTAATAACACGTTAATTCGTCGTATACGTCAATTCGTCGTATTGTTAATTCGTCGTATATCAGGTACGATGTTAAAATATATAAATTTGCAGTTTTACTGTTTAATCAGACATTATGAAACTTACCGATAATAACGACGAATTACCTATATTGTCATATACGTTACTTTAAGAGAATTCGGTAAGCTTGATAATGTCTGATTAAATAGAAAAAGTGCAAATTTATACATTTTAACATTATACCTGAAATACGACGAATTAACGCTACGACGAATTGACGTATACGACGAATTGACTTTACGACGTATTGACTTTACGACGAACTGACGTACGACGAATTGACTTACGACGAATTGACATAGAACCATACATTACATAGAATTTATGAAATATTTTTATGTTTTTTGTTATAATAGTAAAATATTATAACACCTTTTCTTCGTATCTTGACGAAAAACATAAGTATAACGTGTGGTAAAGATTGTCACCACATTTTCCTTACTGTAATTAAATAACAATCATTAAACGAGCTCATTACTATTCAGGATATATGATAATTAACATGTCATGTTTCAGATTAAACGCTTGAATAAATCAAGTAGCTAACCCTATTACTTTTGCTTGACTGCTTTGTTATCTTCGGGGGCCTTTTGTTTCCTAACACGCCGAAAAATGAAAATCACCTCTGGGTCCAGAAGTTATCATTCTCCTTTGTTGTCTATTAAATATTTATTTATGTTTTTCCTTGTTTCAGATGCAAGAAATGGACCAAAATTATGACAACACTGGCGGCCCGAGAAAATGTTCTTTGGCGATGTTTTGCGGCAAGACGAGTCTTTTTGTGCTTATGACGGGATATGCTCTGTTTGGGGCGTTGATGTTTAAGTTTTTGGAGAGTGGTGTGGAGACTCATCAAGTAGCTGATTTTCATAGGAGTAGGGAGGATTGTCTAAAGGAACTTTGGATTATTACAGGTAAGTGAAAGCTGAAAATTAATACCGAAGGTGTAGGTACGTTTTAAATGATCTTATAAGAAGTGGCAATTTTCCGAAATTCTTGGCTAAAGCTATATGGTCTATACGTGAACTTTACCTATATGTAGGTACCTTTTGATAATACGGTGAGAGTTTTTCATGATCAGCCAATAAAAATGGAAATTAGTTTCATTTAACAAATTTAAAACCAGCAAAAATAACGGTACACATTACACATTATATATTATGTAGTTACCTACATTAACGATAGCGGCGAGTGAAAGTAATTTTCATAAAAAAAAATTAATAAATTCATTAAAAAAATAAGTAATCAGTGTAGTCACGTAAATTGTGTAACATCGATGCCACCGCAGGCTTGTGAACTTTGCGCTAAAAAAATTTCTTCCTAGGAATTGATTCAAGCTGTAAAAACCAATAATTTTATGTAACACCAATAATAGAAGAAATAACAATCTCTTTCCTTTTCTGTTTCTTATCATAGGTAGGAGAACGTCATATTAATTTTCGAAAAACAGTAGATTTAGGGCAATGCTGCCTTCCAATGCATGATCACAGAACTAGCCGGCCAGCTGTATTATAACCACTGAGGATCGGCTTATCATTGGACGGTTTAGCTTAGCTGTCGGTTAACCGATCAGTTAACTAACAGCCAAACTAAATAACGGTCCACTGATGAACCGGTTCTTAGCCTCTTCTCATTGAACCATTCCGGTTGCAATGGCCTATAGTAGTTGAATCGTCTAACAAAAAAGTGTTTCTGCTAGTAAATGTATGGCATCTCAGTTACCTTTATATCCGCAAAAATATAGGTTGTCTTTTGCAATTTGAAATACTGCCTTGGACTACTTGGAATTCTCTATGCGATATTTGGCAAGTAACTTGACTCACTTTAGCTTACAAAATACTTTTACAGCGAAAGTAAATTGTATACAAGCTGTGTTGTTAAGGTGTGATAGTGAATAAATATTCATGGAATCAGAATCTGATGATTAGATTGCAACTGCTGCATGAGTTGTGAATATTCTCTATCAAATCATAAAGACAAGAAGCCTAAAAAAAGGTGGTGGGTGGCTTTTTTGAATAGTGGCTCGAACACTTCATTAACTTCTTGTACTTTTTGAAAATTTGGCAAAACATTTCCTGATCTGTATCAATATTGACCAGTAGTGGGAGCTGCTCTTTATAGCAACTCCTGATTATCATGTTCCGATATTTTCTTCTTGGTAGATAATCCAGCTGAAGTTAATTTCGCATTCGGTTACGGCAAGTCAACTTCCTTATTGATTTCTAAAAGAGAGTGTTTTTTTTTACCAGTAGTGGTATTCCTCTATTGTCTACTTGTCTATTGCCTCGATACTTCGCATATCCGCGAAAAAGGTTCATCTGCTGTTGTATGCACTTGGCTTTAGCGCGTCGCTCTTATGTTCAGTTCCGCTGAACTTATTAATTTTAGTTTAGGTATTTTTTCAAATTTTAAGTTACACTCAATTCTTGAGTTTTATGGAGGATTAGGTTATAGAAATTCTTGGGTATAAAATAGGCTAATTTAAATACTGAAATTGCGAGTAGAATATAGCCTTGCATTTATTATACAATGTTAGGGTATAATGAAGAGTCTTAACTTAGTTTTTAATTTGATTTTTCACACTGTAGCGCTCTCTATGAATTTTGAATTGCATTACTATTTCTTGAATGTAAAGGATTTCATTTATTTAATGCAATGATGCGGTATTCTTATAGAGGGTGAAGATTTATGCGCCTGTGCTTAAAATGGCACCGGAACTGGATTGGAACCAAAAAATTGATATCTTTTTCTGGTATCGATTATGCACGCGATCGCGATCAGTCGGCAACCTGAAAAAAGAATCATTTTCACGCAAAGTTAAAAGTGATTGATTCTTACCCCATATTATAATTAAACTCTCGAAAATTACGCGCATCATCAATGTCGTAAAGAAGCTCCTCCGTTGTTGCGTCGCCAAAGCGCAACAGTCTAGGTGCACCTAGAAGGTAAGTCGATACTTTGGTAAGTCCCTCTTTTATTAGACTGTATCACTGCTATATTATTTATTTTAAATATCAATCAATCAATCAACTAGTTTTCCGCGAGATAAATTATTATACTATTGCGCTAGAAAAGGTGATTTCGCGATCTTTCTACCTTCAAATAAAAGAAGAAATTCAATTACAGTCCACTAAACTCAACCAACTTTATCTGAGCTATAGCTATAGCACACATTAGGCAGTCCATTCTTCTTCCGTGATTGCTCTCGGCGACTCGAAAATATTGGAATGGTGGTTCCCAGCGCATTTGATGCACTTTTCTAGGAAAGTGCTCGATTGAGTTTGTTAAAATCCCTGACAACAAAAGTATTGCTGTGGCTGACCAGAACGAATTCTAATGCTCAGCCAATCTTAACATTCAGCGTCGCATTGGTCTGGACACACATGACCTCACCGTATCCGCACCGTGTCCGTACCGAGACACGGCCGTGTCTCGCTGATAAGTTCTACTGTGTTTTCTTGTCCCAGTCTTCACATCTACGCACCGTGTTCGCGCCGCGCCCGACTTTCTCCACCGCACCGCATCCGTACCATGCGGACTCGGTGTTGATACGAAGCGGTCATGTGTGTCCAGACCTTTAGTCAATTGTCAGTCACCTCACTAACTTTGGTATCGAGGAAGCCCATTGCCTCCAAATGGTCCTCGATGTCTCTACAAGGCATGTCTCCTGGTAGGTGGCGTATGTAGGGCTTCCTCCTCCTAAAGCTGATAGGGTATTTTTCTAACCCGTAATGTACTGAATAAAGAAACCCAATCCGTACCTTGAATGACCTTTGTGGCGAATGTGCATTTGTCTGCATCCTTTTCTGAGCTTGGGAGGAATGGTCTGTCTGAGTTGAGAAGTCATTCCCATCCTCAATGGAGCCTCCAACCCCTACCAGACATATATTTAATAATTTATCGTTTGAATTTTCCTCTAGAGACGACTTGGAATGCCTATGAGAATCACCAGAAAGATAAATCAGAAACTAGCATAAATAAATCGAAATTAAGATTCCAACTCCATTTTCAACTTTCATAATCAGACGCCTCGCGCCTAATGTGGGTAGAACCTGAGGTTGGGGGGCTGCTATTCAGGAAAACACACAACTACAAAAGGCACTTATCGTATATTATTGTCTGCTAGTGGGTACCCACATCACCAAAGGGGCACTACGTAGGTGCGCCATATGAATCTCACATTCGGGGCTCTACGTACAGGGTGGCCCGTTTAAGAGGGGCCTATACCTTTTCTCGAAATCTACAAGGGCTGTAAAAAAAAACTTAAATACAAAAGTTGTTTCTAATAAAATTATCTACAATTTTACTGTATTGTTTTTGTTGTTACTCTACTATATACAGTGTGGACAAATAAAATTTCATTTTTTTAAATAGAACACCCTATATTCTAAAACATTTTTACATAGCTCTTTAAAAGACAAATCCAACGATATACTGGTCATGTGTCTATGATATACGGTTTCGAACTTATTAGCGATTATTTTCAGGCTTTAGGGTAATTTTGAATAGTCATTGTTACGTAACTCATAAACTTTTAAAACTTTTTTTTTGCATGATATTTTTTATAAAATAATGCTCTTCTTCAGACTATATTGAAATTTGAAATATTTGTTTAAAAAACGCGGTGTTGCCACGTTTCGCAAAATGTTACGCTTTTCAATTTTTTTAAATGGTACCTCCTGTCAATTTTCGAGTTTTTGGATAGCCCATTAAAAGACAAATTCAACGATATACTGGAAATGGGTCTGTGACGATGCATCACTTACGGCCTGATTGGCAATTCTCAGTTCTAGCACAATAATAATTTATCTTGCGGAAAATATGTCCAAGTCGCCTGTTGAATCAAAATGTCTATTTTCCGTCAACCGTCTATTACCGTGCTTTATTAATGTATAAAAAATTGTTCAATAATGCCACCATCAATGCATAAAATAAAAAGCAGTGATGGGTCCACGGGTTTTTAGGTTTAAACCCAAAAAAAACCGGTTTGGGTTTAAACCCACCCGGGTTTTTTTCAGTGATGGGTTTAAACCCTTTTTGATTTTTTGGGGGTTTCTAGGAAAAATAGGTTTTTTGGGTATTTTAGGAAAAAAAAACGTTACATGGTGGCGTAAAACAAGTTCTCTATAAACAGGTTAAACCAATGAACTATAGTTAAAAACTGGAATGCGCACACATTGCATATCTGCCAAAAAAATGTAGCCATGAAAGATAGATGCCACAAGGGGGAATGTTGTCTTTTTCTGTTGCTCGCTGACATATGACGTTTTCGAAAGTTTTGTCATATTTCCCTTCACAGGTTTCATCAATTGGAATACGTGTTGGAAGCAATTTTCGCCATTTAACATAATGAGTGCGACAAAAACAGATATCCCCTCCGCAGCAGCCGCACTAGGCTTCAAGTTCGTCCTTATGTGTTAGCATTCCAGTTTTTGGTTATAGTTCATTGGGTTAAACAAAAGTGTCCAATGTCCACAAAAATAAAAAACAGAAGAATGCAAGTGCGAGCACTGCGAGCTAATTTAGGTATTAGGTTAGGTTAAGAATCCACACACAGCCACAGGGAGCAATCCTTTCGCCAACTCTTTTCCTGATTTTCATAAATGACCTCATAGATAAAACAGTAAATCCACTTTATTGCTTTGCAGACGATGGCAATGTAGTCTCCTCACTCATACCACCCACAGGTCTTTCCGCACGTGAATTCGATCATCTTAGACTAACTCAAATATCGCAGATAAATAACGACCTGGAGATAATAGAGGACTGGGGTAACAAAAACCTTGTACAGTTCAACGCGCAGAAAACCCAAGCAGCTCTGTTTTCAAAAAAGACCAGCACCGGTGAGCCAAACATCATGCTATCTGGAAGTGCTGTCACATTACAGAGTCAGTTGAACATCTTGGGGGTTACT